GTGTGTGTGTGTGTGTGTGTGTAGTGTGTGTGTGTTGTTATATATATATATATATATATATATATATATATTCGTACTACACAATCAAGCACTGGTTTTTATGTTTTATCCGTGAATAGATGCAGAAACGCGCATTACACGTTGTCAAATTTGGATAGCAAACCATGAACCCTTGTACACATATGCAATATTAACTATCAAAGTTAATTTCATGCAATCAGCGAGAGCTCTGTGCCCCCAATCACTACCAACACAAGTCTGGTGAAAGACCTCAAACGGCAGCTGGCGACCCTGGTAGCCGACACCTGGGGACTGATGATGCTGAAAAGTCTTCTGGAAGATAAAAGGTATTTAGATGTTGGTATATATGCAATAGAAGTGCCAATCTGACTTTTAATTATTGAGATGTTAGACACATTGCTGCGCACTGGTCTTTTGGAAGATACTCGATATGAGTTAAATTTTGTGCGCTGAAAGTGGGATATTTTACTTGATCATATAGTTAAAAGACTCGTGTAACTCACAGGTATCTTGGAGCACACCTGATATTTATGCGTTGATGCGTATGCCCGGGAAGTGTGACCTTTGGATTTTTATCACCAGGATATAAGACTTGGTAGTGCTAAAAAGGGGTTTTAAAGATATTCGCTAGTGTGTCGATATACTCTAAACGTTGTTGTTTAGATTGATATTTACCGGACTGTGCAACCATATTGCTTTTTTTTTTTGGTGGATTCTCGGAAGTCATGTGTTGATTTGAATAGACTAGATTTTATTCTTTAGTGGTAGGATGTGTGACTTATGATGCTCAAAGGTTTCCTGACATATATCGGGGAACATGTGTGTCTACACAACCATTGAATTGCGTGACCTTCTTGTTAGTAGTTATCGGGTTTATGACTTATTCTATGTTTGAAAAGCACCATAATTGCTGACTGTGTGCTGATTCGTAGTTAACGAACAACGTGACAATCTGGCCTATAATCGTTATTTACGGGACTTATACTGCTATCAAGTAATTGAAAGGATACCCGGTATATTCACGCTGTCACATTATTGAGTGTACTTGCTGGACGTATCTGGAGTCGTATAGAGAGAAGAACTGTCCATACGCTTACCCATCAACCATTCTTAGAGATGTGTACCCCGCCACTCATTCTTACATAATATCAACCATCTGCCACTCGTTCGCTTAGATACCACGTACTTTCCAAGTACACACTCAAACACTGCATCTACCTGAAATTCAATTCCTAGGTACCGAACTTCCTGTGCACTCGTTCTTGGTCTGGCATTGCCCTACCTACCGCCGTCAAGCCTCACTTATGCGCACGCCGTGGACATCATGTTCAATGCAGAGGTCAACGTCACAGATGTGCTACTGGAACTGATCTCAATCACACACCTAGAGGGCGAACGCACGTCGACAAACACTGCATGGAACGGTGAGAGTGATGGCTCGCATACACAAGTTGAAGACACAGAAACCGGAAGTAGCATTGAGAAGAGTGAGATATTCAACGAAGACTTAATGCGGGATTATAAAGCGCGAGAAGGGGCCGGTGATGATGGTTTAATGGCCGCGGAGGTCGAAGTGGCAGTAGCAAAGAATCAGAATGAAAATGCGCGGGAGGAGGAAAGTGTCGATCAACCCGATCGTGGCCGACTCAGAGCCGCTCAGGTAGATAAACATGCGCGTGTGTGTACGTACGTGTGTGCATTTATATATGTGCATGTATTCATGTATATGCATACCGTTGTATATATATGTCTGTACATATATACATACTTGTGCTGTGTGTGTGCATGTGTATTGGATATGATTCAAAGCATAAGCATACGTTCATGTTTCAGCAGCAATTCTCTTGCTGAGTATACACCTATTTGTTCGCAACGCCCAGGTGCTGGCGGACCTTGGGCACCTTGTGCGGACAGACAGAGAGTGGCAGCACGCATCTGGCTGGACTCCCAATGTCACCAAACTTGGGCGTTTGGATGCAGTTGGTTATAGTGGAAACAGTGCCGGTATCGCAGCGGTTGATCCTAATAAGGAAACCCCGACGGCAACCTCTGGCCGTACAGAACCAGCGTTTGAGATCGTACCCGGATACAGTAACGATACGAGCGTGAATGTAGGTTCAGGTAGTACGTTGTACGCCACGGAGAAGTCATACTTAGAGGCTGGAACAGGGACGCGACGTTTGGAGAAGGCAGATGTGCTTGGCAGTGCACGCGGTAGTGTCTCGATGGGCGGAGGGTTTGTGTTGGGAGCCAAGCGGGGCCAAGATGTATTGCAAACCGATGTATACCTACATCCCCACACACACCCAGTAAGCGTGCAAGGCGCATCGGGTGTTGGGGACCACACACATGGGACTGTTGAGGGAGTTCGATCGAAGGATGGCGGTAAACTGGACTACCAGGAGTATAATGGCAATACCAAGAGGCAAGTATCAATTGTTTGGTCAGACCTGTGAAGTCATCGTTGCTTTTATACTCAAAGCGTCGCATACCTGGAGCAATGCCTTTCTTATTGCTGTCGGTAGTGTGGTATCGTCTACCTCGCGTACGAGCAACTTCATTGAAAAATCCCCGATTGTACTTCCATTGCTTGCATCGGATATACGCACAGTTCACTTATGCGTGTCGACCCGAAGGACACCATATATGTTACGCAGCAATGATGTATGTGTGTGTGTATACATGTCAGTTCTAGTGTTAGGGAAATGACTTCGGCCGTCTTTCGCGGACATAGCTTTTCAGTTAATTTGAACAGTACATTTCCTCAATATTCCGCACCACACCATAACCACGTATCTTCTTTCTACAAGGCTACAACTAGAAACAGATACCTGACCCCTAAACTCTGAACTCTAAAACACTATGCACAGCTCAGTCATCACATTTGTAGTGAACCATCGGGCGCCTACTGCCGAGTTGTCAGGGGCAAATATGGGAACGACTTTCGCGTGGGATAATCACGGTGCAGACATACCCATACCTGTACCAACCTCAACTCTGGACGGTTCAGTACCTTCATCGCCAGAAGCAGGAGTTGGCCATGAAGGTTCTAAGATATGGGAAACACATGCTACACGTATAGTCATGCCAAAGCCACATTCGACTGTAGACAACCCGAGAGTGTCACCATCCCATTCCTGGGATACACATACGGCGCACGTGCTCATACCTGCACCACATTCAATGACCGCCGGATCTGAATCATCCCCGCAACCTGATTCAGCAACAAGCCGTGAAACCACCACGTCGGAAGATGTGCCCTTTGCGCAGACACCCACACTTGCACCAAGTTCGACTACAGGCAAGTCAGTATCATCGCTGTTGCCTGGTGCAGCTACTGGTCATCGCTTGAGCGGAGACGGAGAAGGAAACAGGGGAGTTTGCACAAGAACAAAACGCAATGGGGACGGTTTAGATACTAATAGTGAAGGGAGGGTCGACCCTGATAAAGAAACATCTGGCACAGACCAGAAAGAGACTCAGCCCAGTTTGTTCTCGGTGGACAAGGACAATCTATGTGCCGTCAGTACGTACTTCCGCTCGATGCTGAATGGGCGCTTCTGTGAAGGGGATCAGAATGAGGTGCAAATTACATCCTGTGGTGCAAGGGCGTTCCAGGGGCTGCTAGCATATCTTCTACCTCGGCCGTATGGAGTGTCGCAGGCCAAGTCCAAGCTAGGAGGTGCGAGGCCAGTCGGTAAGTTAAGAAAGGGTGGCGAGCTGATTAAGAAAGAGGGAGCCGTTTTTAGTGTTATCGGTGACGGAGAGGAGCTTATTGATACCGCGGGTGCGTTGAGCGAGAGTGTGGGAGAGGGCATAAAAGGTGCTACAAGTGGTACTGATAAGCGAGAACCTCAGGTCAAGACGGAAGTGGATGGACCATCTAGACGAGAAAGTGGGGAATGGAAGATATGGGCTAGACTCAAGCCTAGGCGAGATGCTAGTAAAGTGCCCATGTCCGAGGATTGTGCTGTAAAGAACCCCATGGAAGCTGCGAGTAGTGGACAATTAAAGAGGAAATGGACTGACTCCGACGGAAGGAAGACTGATAGTGATGACGATGTTGTCAACGTCGACAGTGATGCGTCTGATCTGCACAGGGGTAAGAAGGCCAAGACGGAACCGAACCCTTCAACAGGAATAGATCCACAACTACATGACCAGCAGACAGTTGAAGAAATAAGGGTGGCTCAATCAGCCTTTGCGGTCGACAGCGATCATAATGAGGATTTGATCGAAGATACACGCTGGCGGGACGACGCCGATACGACAGAAGTGCGTGACCAATCGGAATGCGGTGATAGTTCGGAACTGTTGGACGGCGATGTTGACACGGATGACGAGTATGATATGGAAGGTATATCAAGGGATGTGGTAGGTAATTATACGAACGCTAAGACGACAACAGGGGGCACAGCACCGCTTATACGGCGGAGGAACGAAATGGATATACACAATGCGGGCTGGCGTGACGTGGGTGGAAGCGGGTGAGATATTGTGTCCGTCGTATTTATACTTGAGTATAAAAGCCTTGCAATGGTAATCAGGTGTGCATAAGCTAGAGGATATTTTGGTTATGATAACTAGGGGTCCTATTTGACTTCCAAACTGACTTCTATTTTACCCGCTGCCCGTTTTATATCTATATCTACCACAGTGGTAGCAAGACAAGTTGGAAAATCGATGTGCTGGTTATAGATACATCTTTTTCGCTTGCTGTGAACCGTTTGATGATTTGGATTTATACGTGGATCATGTATGTATTGTTATATATATGGGCCGATACTGATATATTTGATGTGCCTTGATCCGAATCGCTGCATAAATTGAATGTATGGTATCGAATAGTATTGGAGTATTCTGTTATGAATGATAGCTGTCTATTTATGTACAAATCACATGCTACTTCCTTCACGACTGTGCACTCTGATCTGGCAGTGCTCTCGATTGACACCTGGCTTGAGAAGTATGCTTTGTGCGTTGGCAAACACCATGATTTGGTGTCGCATCAGATAGCTACCAAGCTTTCATTCTTGAGTCATTATCGGCTATTGTTTTCAATCGCTGCGTTTAACCTTCAGTGCTTGCGTGGAAATTAATGAAACATCAAACCTATACAATGAATTTACCATACGTATCGTAATAAATTAAGGACACGACAACTGACCATTGTTGGCAACCACGAACACAGCGCATCAAATGAAACCCAGAGCGCAGATAGTTCGGTACATGTGCGTGGTCCAGCAGCCACGGCTAGTATTCACACACACGGGGGTATTACAGTGCGTATAGAGAAAACGATTGGTCCCATAACCAACGCTTGCTGTGAGAAGTACTTCTACGACAATCTGGTGCCAGAGGATGCCCTGGCGCTCATTCCAGGTATGATGTCTGCCTCTTACTTATATACTGGCTTAAATTATTATACAAAGTATGGTCAGAATTAATTGACATATATATATATGTGTGTGTGTGTGTGTGTGTGTGTGTGTGTGCGTGTGTGTGTGTACACGTGTGTACACGTGTGTGTGTGTGTGTGTGTATACACGTGTGTGTGTGTGTGCGTTTGTGTGTGTTATGTATGTATATATATATGTATGCATGTATG